GGGGTGGGGTGGGAGGTGTGGACAGCTAACCCTGTGGTTCCCTGCCTGAGGATCACATGGTGGCTATGGCCAGCCAATGGGGGCCTGGCCATGCTGATTTTTATACCTGCCTCCCTGCTCTAAAACTACAGGCATTCACTGGGAGCCTCTCAGACTGGCTGAGAGGCCGAGCAGGGAGGAAGAGGTTGCATCCAGAGCTGAACTTTTTTTTTTTTTTTTTAACTTTTTTTTCCCCCTCCCTCCCTCCCTCCCTCCCTCTTACAGGAAGCCCTCTCTACCTTAGCCTTGGAAAGAGCCCCTTTTCATAAAATCAGCTGAAGGCACCCATTCACAGCCAAAGGGGGTTGTGAAAAAAAAAAAGCAAGCCAACCTTAAAGCTTTTTCACTCAAAGAAATAAAAGAGAGAAGTGGCCAGAGGTCCACCCAGAGAAAACTTCAGGCTGCTTTTTTTTTTCCCCCCTGTCTGCTCTACAAAGACCTTGATAGAGGCTCCAAAAGCTCCTTTTAAATAATAATAATAATAATAATAATCAGAAATCCACCGTTTGTGCCAGAATAAATCAATCGCTGGCAAATGATTTCAGCAGGGATTAGCTAAGCTCCCTACTCCAGTCCCCCTGCAAAACACAGATCTGATCAATGGATGCCTGGTGAGCCCTTTTGGCTTAAACAAAAACTATCGCCGTTGCCAAAAAAAAGTGTGTGTCACAGGGTGGCGGGGGGGAGAGTTGTGTTGATTTTTTTTTTCTTCTCCTTGAAACTTTATGAATGAAACTGGAGTAAGGATCCTGTCTTGGAAATAACAGGCTGGTAAATTTTATCCTGGGAGCAGGGGGGAATGGTTAGAGGGGGATGGTCTTAGCTCACAAATAGAGAGGTGGCTGCTTGCAAAAACAGCGTGCTTGTCTTTTTTGGGGGGTGGCTTGAAGCTGCAGGGTAGATGCTGGAGGGAGGCAGCTCCACAGAGGGAATAACTGGGAGAGATCCCCCCCACCAAAAGTGCCATAGCAATTTTTTGGTAATGCCCTCTCTCCACTCTGGGTGGAAGTAAACAGGCTGTCAGCATTTTCCTCTTGCTAAGCGGAGCTAAAGCAGCAGCAGCGGCAAGCCCAAGTGAGAATCAGCAACTTTTTCTTTTTACTTACAGGATCTGGGTGCTTATTCTTTCTGGGACAGGACAAGAACCGTGTGTGTGTGTGTGTGTGTAAGAGAGGGGGTGCATTTCTGCAGATGGCAAGGCAAGAAGGTCGGAAAATGTCCTGCAGTCAGTAAAAAAAAAAAAGAGGGGGGGTTCTTCTTTTTTTTTTTTAGCGCGACATCTCAAGTCAACTCTTTAAGAAAGCAAAATTCAGCCCCGCGCTTCCATGCCCTCCTCAATTGGCTTTTTGAAACTGCAGATCCTTTGAGACAGACAGGGGGGAGAGAGGCAGAGAGAGAGAGAAAAAATCCATCTTGCTCCCAAGGAGAGCCGGCTGCAAGCTGGAGAAGGCAGGCAGAATAAACCTATTGTGGAGCCGCAACGCACTGAAATATAGAAGCAATAGAAAAGCCCGAGCCAACAGCACCCCTCCTTGCACAAACGTAATTGCTCGGTGAAAATAGTTCCAACTTCGGGCTTTTTTTTTAAAAAGAAAACTTGTGATTTGTTTGCTTTGAAGGGGGAGAGGGAAAAAAAGGGGGGGGCGTTTTTTTTTCCGCCCCCCTCCCTGTGAAACCTTAAAAGATAAAATTACTGGATCTAAAAATAAAGCAGTGGTTAAAACCTTTCCCCCACCCCTTACAACCCCCCCCCACCCCTCCCCTTTCTCTCTCT